TAGGTATCATATTATGTCATCAGGTGTATGTTGTGTTTTGTTAGGTATTTTTCGAGAAAACTTTGGGATAAATCCCCAAAAAGGAAGAGAGTCAGAGGCGAAATTAGATATAACATTTGTAAAATAATCTTCAATGAAAAGGTCGCACTCTTTGTAAAATTATTTTTAAAGTATATGATATAGATAAAGGCCACGAAAGTTGCTCGAGTTTCCAATTGGAAACTCCAGGAACGACCAATCAATGAACAGATAAACTTTAAAGCTCGTATGTTATTAAAACGTGTCCATAGAGGTATTTTAGCAAACTGCTTAGACGAGTGTTTAGGTAGTCTTATATTTACTTGTAGATAGAAAGCCGCATGGTCAGACTGTAAACCTTGTCAATACTTTAATAAGAAAATATAATTTCATTATCTGATAATTACTCTTATAATTAGTTACAACTTATTACTTTCTACATTTATTAATTAAAAAAACTTTTTCAAACTGTTATGCTTCAAGTGTTTTCGCTGCATCACTTGACTTTACGTCACGAGAAAATACCTAATTGAAAACAATTTCCAAAAGGCTATGATCTGTAAACTAGTCAAAGGAATTACACCCCACACCAGCGCATCGCTTTATCAATTTGCTTAGGTCTTACTTGATATAAAGAGTACATGATTTTACGATATTTTTTACAGAGGACGAGCACCTGTCCACTACGATATGAAATTTGGGAAATGATAGTGAGTAGTGTCCAACCACACACACTAACATTCATACATACATAAAAAATTTCCAAATTGTTTTGCATTTATCTACGTTTCAATGTCCCTGAGTCCAAAAAATGTAAAAATCTGGGGGTTATTTATATGACCGATTGCAATACTTTCCCTCTGTTGTATATTTTAGGCTCAAAGACCGAAATCGCTCAATGAGGGGGAAAAAAACGACCACAAAGCGAAATTTGTGTCGTGGCTTTCATTTGACCACTTCGCGTTGAGGTGATTAAGAAAAGTCATAAAGTATTCTGAACGTCAGCCGACGCAACCACGTTACGAAGGATAGGTTGTAACTTGTCAACGGCACATTGCAAACACATACGGAGTTTGTATTGTATTCATTCTTGGCTAGTGCTGCCGTTTCTAGGGGTAATTACGTTTTTCTAAAGTAATTTCAACCTCTCAGAGTAATGTTTTGAGTAGTCTTATATTTAGCGTAAATCTAGAGTAAAACTACCCTGTTTTGATGCTATTACTCATTACCCGACAAGTTTCTCTTGAAAAAGGTTTAGCCTGAAAACATTCCGTTTATCCCTATAACTGGAGGGTTTTAGGATAGGACAACAGAAGCTAAAGAATTCAGTAGTGATTCTTTCAGATTTCAGAAAAGATTTCAGAAGAATCTCTTCAGTAGTGGTAAGAAACCCTACTGAAGAGACCAATAAAAGCGAAATGCATTTGGGGTTAAGTATAATGTAACATAATAAAACTATTTTTTCTCTTAAAGTTCAGCTGTTGGTCCTTTTGTTTTTTATACGCGTCTAAGTTCCACTTTGAGTAGATGCATTTATGACTTGGAATTTTTTAGCCTCCAGAAGTCAGAGAGAATAGGAGAATTATTTTTCCGTGTATTAGTTAATAGTACAATTGGGTAAAGACAGATTATCTGACTCCGTTAGTTTTTTTAAATATTTCATTAATACAAATCTTTTTCAAAAAAACCGACGGTATGACATTAAAAACACGTACAGAATACACCCCACGCCGACGTTTTACTGTTTGATATCGCCCCAACTAAACACGGCACTAAAAGTTTCCACGATATCAGTCATGTCTCAGTTGCATTTAAAAGTGAAAAATAAATGTGCAGACCCTTGGTGGAAACTCAGAATTTCATGGACAGTCTGGATCAAACTATCGAATACTTCATTCATGCTGACTGACTTTCTTGTGAATGTTGTATGCCAATATTATGCGATATTTCCATTTTTCATATCCTAGTATTAATTAATTGTGATTTAATGACCTTATACACAAGAAAACAAATCTGTTTTCATTTTTAACTCTAACCCTGTCGATGGACTGTCCGGGGTTTTTCGAAAGTTTTTCGGGAATTATCCCATTCACAAATTTTCCAAGTGTTGCATTCCCTTATTCCTTCAGATCTGAATCCAAATCATTTCCACCCTGAAGACACTAACGGGATCTTTTTAATTACACCTATCGTAGGTTGGTCCGGGCTCACAATGGAAACATTTGAGTGTCAAAAAATCGGGGCTGTGGAGTCGCGTAAAAATTTACCAACTCCGACTCAGTTTCATATACATAACAAGTTGGTAAGTAAAAAGGGAGTCGGAGTCAGCGGATTTTTTGACGACTCCGACTCCGGCCAAAACACCAAAACTCTACGACTCCGACTCCGACTTCACAGCCCTGCAAAAAATAGATGAATCCCAACAAATCAGGAAAAGACCGTTCTGAGAAAGTTCACCAATATCCAAATAGTTATCGAAACCAGGCGTGTGAACAGCAGGCTGATGCCTTTACCGCATCTGCCATTTGACAATAAGACACATCACGTCGAGTGATGTGTCTTATGGTCAAATGGCAGATGCGAACATTAGGAACATTTTGACAATTGAATTAATTTTGCATGAATCTTACATTATCTTTTAGTGCCTTTTTCTTCGTCGATGACAGATGTATCTCGTTTGAGGTATGAGAACCAAGTGGAATGTATTTCTTCATTTCTTGCACGTGTAATATTACAAATGCCGTCTGGAAAAACCACGTTTCTTTCCTTTTCGAGAAGCATCTTATAGCATCTCTCTGTACATCCGTTAAGACGGGTCGAGTGAAAACTTCAGATTCCAAGAACTCTTCTCTCATCGTAAGGAATCTGATATGAGGAAGGAAAGGCTCCAGCACTTCTCGAAGAGAGTCTGTAATGAGAGAGTGGCCATATAAGTAACGCTTTTCTAGTGGAAGTTTGTGATCACAAGAATTTAAGCCACCATTATTCTTCCAAACAACGTGTTACCGAGATTGGAACAAAACCTTCGTGGATAAATTTTATCGTATATACTTTCGTTGTCTGCAAACAAATTGAAATTAAAATCAAAGGTTAATGATATTAAAAATATTTCGGCTAATGAAGTGCCTCAAAATAGAATCGAACTCGGACCCTTATGAAGGAAGCGCGACACGCTTCCAGCAAGCCAACTACAAAACCAAAATAAAAAAATAAAAAAACGTTAACCATTTCGTTTTAAAAAAATAATAATTAAAAAATTTCTAATAAAACAAATAAANCCCAGATATAGTCAAAGATTGCAGCGCCACAGCACTAGCGAAAATTTAAATTTGCCGACTGGAATTCTTTCGGATAAACGACGCTCTACTGTAAATGGATTAATGACTTGGAATTTTTTAGCCTCCAGAAGTCAGAGAGAATAGAATTATTTTTCCGTGTACTAGTTAATAGTACAATTGGGTAAAGACAGATTATCTGACTCCATTGGTTTTTTAAATATTTTATTAATACAAATCTTCATCAAAAGATCGGCGGTATGTCATTATAAACACGTACAGAATGCGCAGACTCTTGGTGGAAATTCAGAATTTCATAGCCAGTCTGGATCAAAATATCGAATACTTCATTCACGCTGACTGACTTTCTTGCGGATGTTGTATGCCAATATTATGCGATATTTCCAGTTTTCATATTCTAGTATTAATTGTGATTTAATGATCTTATATACAAGAAAACAAATCTGTTTATATTTTTAACTCTAACCCTGCCGATGGACTGGCCATGTGGAGTTTTCAAGATATTCTTTACGTGTGTCACACTTAAATAAAAGTCGGTTACTGATCGAAAGTTTTTCGGGAATTATCCCATTCACAAATTTTCCAAGTGTTGCATTCCCTTATTCCTTCAGATCTGAATCCATATCTAAATCATTTCCACCCTGAAGACACTAACGGGTTCTTTTTAATTACACCTATCATAGGTTGGTCCAGGCTCACAATGAAAATATTTGAGTGTCAAAAACAAAAATAAATGAATCCCGACACATCTGGAACAGACCGTACTGAGAAAGTTCATCAATATCCAAATAGTTATCGAAACCCGGCGTGTAAACAGCAGGCTGATGCTTTTACCGCATCTGCCATTTGACCATAAGACACATCATGTCGAGTGATTACTGCATTAGGAACATTTTGACAATTGAATTAATTTTACATTAATCTTACATTATATTTCAGTGCCTTTTCTTCGTCGATGACAGATGTATCTCGATTGAGGTATGAGAACCAAGTGGAATGTATTTCTTCATTTCTTGCACGTGTAATATTACAAATGCCGTCTGGAATAAACCACATTTCTTTCCTTTTCGAGAAGCATCTTATAGCATCTCTCTCTACATCCGTTAAGATGGGTCGAGTGAAAACTTCAGATTCCAAGAACTCTTCTCTCATCGTAAGAAATCTGATATGAGGGAGGAATGGCTCCAAAACTTCTCGAAGAGAGTCCGTAATGAGAGAGTGGCCATATAAGTAACGCTTTTCTAGTGGAAGTTTGTGATCACACGACTTTAAGCCGCCATTATTCTTCCAAACAACGTGTTACCGAAATTAGAACGAAACCTTCGTAGATAAATTTTATCGTATATACCTTCGTTGTCTGCAAACAAATTAAAATTAAAATCAAAGGTTGGTGATATTAAGAATATATATATAATATTTCGGCTAATGACGTGTCTCAAAATAGAATCGAACTCGGACCCTTATGAAGGAAGCGCAACACGCTTCCAGCAAGCCAACTAGAAAACCAAAATAAAAAAATGTTAACCATTTCGTTTTAAAAAAATTTTAAATAAAAAATAATAATAAATAAATTTCTAATAAAATAAATACATTTTTAAAAAATATTTAAAACGTTTAAAATAAACGATTTAATAAATTTTTTAAAATTTTTGGTTTAAAAAATAATCCAGGTGGCGTTTAGGCGTATTCTTCATTCTGTCTAAAGTAAACTTTCAGATGAGGAAGGAGAGTTTATTAGTCTAAAAAATGGTCGTTTTAGGTAGAAAATTTGTGTGTATTTTATTCGTCGTATTCATCTTTGCCTTCTTAAAACACACCAATGGTCGTAAGTATACTAAACAAAACTCTTTATTTATTTATTTTTTTAAAATAACCATCTGAAGCATGTCTTGTAATCCTTTTACACACAAACTATACAATTTCAGGGTACAAGTTACTTTTAAATGCTTTGTATATAGTAAAAATGCAGATAAATGAGCTAAAAGTAACTTCTACTAATTTCTACAGCAAAAATATTCAAACAAGACAATACACTTAAATTAGTTTGAAGAAGTGGTAGATTTTTCTATTTTTTGTTAATATTCCAAGCAGAAATTCATATACACAAAACATATTTATTGTTACATTTATATTTATAAAGCTATAAAGCTTTATAAATAAGGTATATACCAAATACATATCTACAATCGCATCCGCAAACAGTAACGTTGCGCGGAATCGAGTTCTGCACATAATATAGAGTCCAACGCTGACTTCAACATATTTATAAAGCTACAACTTTATAAATAAGTTGGAGTCGGCATTGGACTCTATATTATGCTCAGAACTCGATTCCGAGTAACGTTATTGTTTGTGGATGCGATTGTAAGTATGTATTAGGTATATACATGGTGCCATAGCTATGGGAGGCTATAAAATGGCTAGGCTCTGTAAAAATTATAATAGTTTCAGCTTAGCGTTGCTCGTATGAAGTCTGAAGGTGTATGCTTTTGTTTTTATCACACAATCTTATACCGGTTATAAAAAATAAAACACTTTTTGCCAGTACTTTCAGACAGTTTTTTAATTTATAAAAAAAACCACAGGATGATTATTCAATTGAAAATTTGGTATAATAGAAGAAACTCAAAAGAAATTAGAAGAGCATCTTCATAATCTGTTCTTTTTTTATACATCTTGGGAATATAACAGTTGTGCTGCAGTCAACTTTTATTTTGAATCTCTTCTCTGCTTTAGTATGCAAACTTGTTAAAATCATCCCTCTGGCAGTTGCGCATTGTAAAAGCATATCATTGATTTTTTTTTTTAATTTGCTTTTTTGCACAGTTTTAAATTACGAAATAAGACTTTTAGAACTTTTAGAAAATTTTTGAACTTTTAACAATTATTTTTGTTCTTAAAACTGATGAGGGAGTTTCTTCTAATGATAGTGTCTGTTGTCAATCCAAAAGTATTAGCAAAAGATATCTTATTATATTGTAACTTTAATTATGTGATGATTGTGTATTTTATGCACGTATAGTCCCTAATAAGGCTTTGCCCATTGCTCATTCTTCACAGCAATTTAAAAGTTTCTCTGATATTTGCAACCCGACGTTGATAGTCAAAAGTTAACAAATTAACAAAAATGTTAGTGTACTTAAATGCAAACTGATTCCCATCTTACTCTGGCTCATAATTGTTAATTCTAAATATAAATGTAATGTATTAATAATCTGAGTTGTAATCATATTTTCGCTTTCCTGGCTGTTATAACAGAGTGATGATCTGACAAAAGTTGATCCCCTTCAATTTTTACATTTTTGAACTTAGGACACCTATAAACATCAAAAAATGCAAAAAAATTCGGGAGTAATTTCTGTATGTATGGATGTTTGCGTGGGGAGGCACGATTTTGTTCACCCCATTTGAAACTTAATAACTTCTGAGCTTTTTGTCAAAAATTCCTGAAATTATGCTTAGAGGTTCGTTTATAGCATCGATCCCCCTAGAATGAGGCTATTAAATTTTGGTGGTTAAAGGTCGAGGGAGTGGGGGAGATAATGGGGGTCATGTGTATTTCCAGTAGGGTTGGACTTAATGACGATTTTACTCATTATTAGCATTTAAATTTTTTATAAAACTCATCCCTACCCTTAAAATTAAGCATTCTGTAATTTTATAATGGTACAAAATATGATAACAGATGGCGCCATCAAAATTTTAAATGTTGCCTGAAAACCTGTAAAATTAAACTGTTAATTTTATTCATTGATGTACAGTAGACTGTCACAATTCCAGAGTATTAATCGGAGTTTAACAATTCAGAAGTGCCTAACAATGCAAAATAATATGAATTATCACAAATTTAATTACTTAGGCTTTATCACATTAACCTTTTTGAAAACTAACTTCAGGTTACATCAACATTAAATTAAATTTTTATTTGAACATTCTATACTAAAATAACTTTCAAATACAGTGGAACCTCGCATAATGAGCAAAACAAATTGTAAAAAGATGACTCGCATAACGAGTGACCAGGAGAGGGGAAGTCCCGGAATTTGCGCATGCTCCTTTGGTCTGTGTTTAGCACTCCTTCCGCTAGCATCTTACTGTCACATGTGATCACACATTTTTCTAAACTTGTGTTCACATGTATTACATATAAACATGAACAACCATAGCCCATTATATAATAAACATGCCAAATTAATGCCGAATTCTTCGGCTATGTAAAGGTTATAATTAAATATTAGAAATTTATTAATTTGACTTGGAATCATTCTCAATATTCCAATTGCCATTGTCAAACATCTAGGCTTATAAAATAGCAGCGCTTAACATTCGACTGCATGAAAACTTCGTCTCAACCTGCAGTATTTAATTATCGCCTTTACATAACCCAAGAATTTGACATATCTTTTGGCGTGACATATCAGACATATTTTTTTTTTTTTTTGCAAATCAAATTTACATTTCAGGTTGGTTCATTCCATGCTAGGAGAAGATAGGAAGCTGATTGAAGCATGCTCCTTATCAACGCATTAATTTATTCAGATAAACGTTATACGTAAAATATTTGAGTATTTTTTTCGGCATGGAACGCATTATCGTATTTTACATTAATTTGTATAGAAAAACTGTTTCGCTTAATGAGTGTTTCGCATTACGAATAAGATTCTGGAACGAATTATGCTCGTCAAATGAGGTTCCACTGTACTAAGATACTAACTTTCAAATATTGGGTTGGCCAGTAAGTTCATATGGTTTTTGCTGGTAGATAGTGTTAGACACTTTGAAAAACAATTATTAGTAGCTTTAACCTTGAAAACATGTTTGTTTGACAAGTGACATTTCACCAACACTTGTCAAAATAAGACTTGATGGTTAGTTTTATTTTATGTGTTTGTCAGTATTGGAAGATGAGTGAACAAAACATACATTATCAACATATTATGCTTTTTTATTTTATAAAAGGCAAAAACACGGTGCAAACATGCAAAAGAATATATGAGGTGTATGTAAGCATGCCGTGAAAGAATGTGTTTGTGAGAAGTGGTTTGTAAGTTTTCATTCAAGATGCACCACGATCACGTCGGCCAGTTGAGTTTCAACTCAACTGGCCGACGTGATCGTGGTGCATCTTGAATGAAAACTTACAAACCACTTCTCACAAACACATTCTTTCACGGCATGCTTACATACACCTCATATATTCTTTTGCATGTTTGCACCGTGTTTTTGCCTTTTATAAAATAAAAAAGCATAATATGTTGATAATGTATGTTTTGTTCACTCATCTTCCAATACTGACAAACACATAAAATAAAACTAACCATCAAGTCTTATTTTGACAAGTGTTGGTGAAATGTCACTTGTCAAACAAACATGTTTTCAAGGTTAAAGCTACTAATAATTGTTTTTCAAAGTGTCTAACACTATCTACCAGCAAAAACCATATGAACTTACTGGCCAACCCAATATTTGAAAGTTAGTATCTTAGTACAGTGGAACCTCATTTGACGAGCATAATTCGTTCCAGAATCTTATTCGTAATGCGAAACACTCATTAAGCGAAACAGTTTTTCTATACAAATTAATGTAAAATACGATAATGCGTTCCATGCCGAAAAAAATACTCAAATATTTTACGTATAACGTTTATCTGAATAAATTAATGCGTTGATAAGGAGCATGCTTCAATCAGCTTCCTATCTTCTCCTAGCATGGAATGAACCAACCTGAAATGTAAATTTGATTTGCAAAAAAAAAAAAAATATGTCTGATATGTCACGCCAAAAGATATGTCAAATTCTTGGGTTATGTAAAGGCGATAATTAAATACTGCAGGTTGAGACGAAGTTTTCATGCAGTCGAATGTTAAGCGCTGCTATTTTATAAGCCTAGATGTTTGACAATGGCAATTGGAATATTGAGAATGATTCCAAGTCAAATTAATAAATTTCTAATATTTAATTATAACCTTTACATAGCCGAAGAATTCGGCATTAATTTGGCATGTTTATTATATAATGGGCTATGGTTGTTCATGTTTATATGTAATACATGTGAACACAAGTTTAGAAAAATGTGTGATCACATGTGACAGTAAGATGCTAGCGGAAGGAGTGCTAAACACAGACCAAAGGAGCATGCGCAAATTCCGGGACTTCCCCTCTCCTGGTCACTCGTTATGCGAGTCATCTTTTTACAATTTGTTTTGCTCATTATGCGAGGTTCCACTGTATTTGAAAGTTATTTTAGTATAGAATGTTCAAATAAAAATTTAATTTAATGTTGATGTAACCTGAAGTTAGTTTTCAAAAAGGTTAATGTGATAAAGCCTAAGTAATTAAATTTGTGATAATTCATATTATTTTGCATTGTTAGGCACTTCTGAATTGTTAAACTCCGATTAATACTCTGGAATTGTGACAGTCTACTGTACATCAATGAATAAAATTAACAGTTTAATTTTACAGGTTTTCAGGCAACATTTAAAATTTTGATGGCGCCATCTGTTATCATATTTTGTACCATTATAAAATTACAGAATGCTTAATTTTAAGGGTAGGGATGAGTTTTATAAAAAATTTAAATGCTAATAATGAGTAAAATCGTCATTAAGTCCAACCCTACTGGAAATACACATGACCCCCATTATCTCCCCCACTCCCTCGACCTTTAACCACCAAAATTTAATAGCCTCATTCTAGGGGGATCGATGCTATAAACGAACCTCTAAGCATAATTTCAGGAATTTTTGACAAAAAGCTCAGAAGTTATTAAGTTTCAAATGGGGTGAACAAAATCGTGCCTCCCCACGCAAACATCCATACATACAGAAATTACTCCCGAATTTTTTTNCAAACCTGGCAAAAATTGTTGGAGCTTGGCTGGATATCGTACCTCATCTTCCATATTCACCCAACCTTGCCCTTTCTGATTACAACTTGTTTTACTCCCTTCAAAAGTCTTTAAATGAACAGTGCTTCATTTCCAATGATAACGTAAAACAGCACTTTGAAGTTTTTTTGTCAATTAAATGAGGTATTATGAAGCTCCCTGAAAGATGGCAAAAGGTTCCCGATTAAAAAAAAAGTATAAAGTTTAGATGCCAAAATATCAGCAAAATAGCTCTCACCAATTCTCCAACAGCTCAAATGATATATTGTGTATCCAAATTAACAATCGGTCTAAACCTTCATTAATTAATTAAATATTACATAATTTGGATTAATATATGTATAATTCATTTGCTAAGTTCTAATATGATAATTAATCTAGCTCTGTCAGTTGAGTATTAACATCTAATGATTCGTTAAAGAAATTAATAAAAAATATACAAATATTAGTTATAATACTGACATAGAATTTTTTTCTATTTAGATATTCCTTGTACAACACTGGAGGACTGCTTAAATGTTACGGGTGTAGATGTGGTATGCAAAGAATCCGAATGCAGTTGTTCCGAGAACGATACGTTAATTGAAAATCAGAAAATTTGTGCACCAAGTAAGTGATAAATAAAATTTACACTGAATAATGATAATATTTAAAAAATTGATTTATTCATTAGTGATGATCAATAAATCGATTTGTTTAATATGATTCTAAATAGAAACAAAACTACACCTTATATCACTTCAAGTAAACTTTAATGAACAAGAAAGTTTTAAAAAGTTACAATTTGTTTTAATATAAATATTATAAAAGACAGTTGAATATATTTTGTAGCTTGTTTTTTATTGGAATTTATTTAATGATTAGATAAATTTTTCCTCATTTTTAATGGTTAAAAGGTCTGTTCAACACTCAACTTTTCTTTAAGACATCAGAATAATTACATTAGGTGAATTAAATAATAAAGACAATTACATTTTTCAAAATGCTTTATTTATATGGAAACTACATAAACCACTAATTATGTTTAAATAGAACATTAATTTGTAGAGCCAGATAAATCACAAATATTAATTAATAGTAGCTGATATCGAAAATCTTATTTAATTATGTTTTCAAATTTTAATATTAATCTTTATAATTATGAATGATAACGATCCAGGTTATCTAGACAATCTTGGAGAGAATTTCCAAGTTTTTCCAGACAATTTTCAGATTTTCCAGATAACTTATTCAATTCCCATATATTTCTTATATAGTAATTCTTATATTCTTTAAGTCAATGATATCCAAACTTTTTCAAGCCATCTTGTTCCATAAACTTATACTAAACACCCCTAACCCATTTTCCCTTGTGTGAGAAAGGCTTTGAAGTCTTAGAAAAACTTTTCTATGAACCTCACACTTACCATATGCTATTCTCCACATCTGGAAACCATTAAATGGAATGTTCCTTCTTACCTGTTTTAACAGAGGAAAGGGAAAGGTTGTCAATGATTTCAACCCTCGCCTATGGTTATCGTTCAGCACCTCCAGTGCTCCCTGCTGCCCATATGCTTTTCTTCATCTCCTAGATTTACTGACCACCCACAGGGGCAGCAATAACATCCATTTTGGGAACCACTGCTTTAAGGTATCATGTGAAATTATAAAAATGAAGATTAATTAAAAATGTGAATGAATCAAAAATGAGTGCATCAAAATCAAAGATTACATCCGCACAAAACATGCCACTAAATGATTAAAAATCCAGTAACACTTTATTTTAAGAACGCTTTTAATATAAACATAATTTTATCATCAGATTTAAGTTAAAAACAAAATGAATATCCCAAATTAAACAACTCATTGATTGAAAGTTTCTCTGCTGTCATAACTACAAGTGATTTAACATTTTATATCTCTGGCAATTTTAGAGTAGATGTTATGCATCTTTGGCTCAAATTCTAACACAATTCTAATGCTGGGAAGGCTACTACTGTGTTAGAATTTGTTTCCAAGATGCACATCTACAAATAATTAAATTTTTAAAATTAAAAATTAATTTACAGAATAAAACCAATTTTCTGGATTAACAACTAGATTAACAATATTATTTTCTTATATTACCCAGTAAAATTAATTTTATTTGTAGGTAGACATTTGTGTACAGTCCTAAAAGTGAAATCAGATAAATTCATAAATTAGTCCCAAACACCATCTACCCCAGTCTTTCTTAGCCTCTAACGAATCGTCGCCCCCTTCAATAAAACTGTTACGTAGTATCGCCCCTTCACTTCAAAATTCCGATGCCGAGGGCCAAGGCTAACGCTAAATTCGTACTGCATCGAATAGACTAGTGACTAGTATAATGTTATTTGTTTCATTATTGTACGATATAACAAATAAAATATCCAATTATTCTTAATATAATGTTATACTATATCGTTCAGAAAATTGTTTTTTGCCCCCCAAAATGTAAATTTGCACTAATCGCCCCTCAACATGGAAAAACGCCCATGTGGGGGCGATATCGCCCCAGTTGAGAAACACTGATCTACCCCATCATCTGCTTGAAAGAGTCTCATTTCTTAACTTGTACTTCAATGCATTGCATCTCATTTCATTTTTGTTTGTTTGATATCCTGAAAAAAATTGAATTAAAGCTAAACTTTACGTCAGATTATTTACAGACTATACCTTAAGAAAAGTTGAATTAATAATTGCAATTTTTAAGAATCCATTTTGAATATTTTTATTTAAATTGAATTTTGAAAATATTATCTTTGTTTCAACCCAGTCTCAAATTCTTGTTCAAACTGTTATTTATGTGGAGTCTGAGTTCCGCAATAAAAGTTCAATTTTAATGAAACTTGTATATATTAATGCTCTCATTTAGTTCTATTTGTTTTTTTTTTTCAGCCATCTTTAAGAGCTTCCTTATATCTACTATAACCATCTTGAAATATGCATAACATTTCTTTCTTAACTTTTAAAATTTCTCGAAATTGTTCTATGGCAAATATTTATACTTGAAGTTAGCATCAAAATTACTGCAGTGAAATTGAATACTCTTGGAAAACAGATTTGGTTATGCTGAAATTTTATATTGTATATCTGCTTAGGTACCATATGCATTACTATTTGCCAAGAGGCCCTCTTGAAAAATTATTGGGCCTCTTGGCTTATAGTTTAGAGAGAATTTAACACCCAAATATTTAAATTTATTCGTAATTTCCAGCAGTATTTCATTTAAGTAAAAATTCCTTTTCAATTACCGCATTTTCCACCATTTTGAAATATCATAACCTTTGACTTGCGTGGATTTATCTTTAACAAATTCTGTTTACAATAATTAGTAATTGGTTCATTTTGTTTTTGAAATGCCACTTTATTTGGAGGTTTTTATTTTTTTTTTTTTTGCCCTGTGAACACTAAGAGAAATAAGAAAGTAATTTAAAGATACAACAAAAGGATTTGGCAATCAACTTTATCCATCTCGGATATCTACATCACTGTTTACTCATGCACCATAGAAAATTAAGGAGAAGCTTGCATTGCGATTTCAGTTGCCACTTCTTACTTCCACACCATGCATACATTTGCCATTTGGTATCTCTGCTGTATTGTACAGAATATATAAGACTAATATTTTTTTTAATTCTGACATTTCATATCTTTGTAAATAAACTAGCTTTATTGTAATTATACATCATTCTTTTCTCTTTAATTTAATTAGTTAATAGTTTAAATAGTTAACTAATTAAAATTTATATCCTGTTTTGCAAACACTCTTTAATTATTAAANATCGATTTGTTTAATATGATTCTAAATAGAAACAAAACTACACCTTATATCACTTCAAGTAAAACTTAATGAACAAGAAAGTTTTAAAAAGTTACAATTTGTTTTAATATAAATATTATAAAAGACAGTTGAATATATTTGTAGCTTGTTTTTTACTGGAATTTATTTAATGATTAGATAAATGTTTCCTCATTTTTAATGGTTAAAAGGTCTGTTCAACACTCAACTTTTCTTTAAGACATCAGAATAATTACATTAGGTGAATTAAATAATAAAGACAATTACATTTTTCAAAATGCTTTATTTATATGGAAACTACATAAACCACTAATTATGTTTAAATAGAACATTAATTTGTAGAGCCAGATAAATCACAAATATTAATTAATAGTAGCTGATATCGAAAATCTTATTTAATTATGTTTTCAAATTTTAATATTAATCTTTATAATTATGAATGATAACGATCCAGGTTATCTAGACAATCTTGGAGAGAATTTCCAAGTTTTTCCAGACAATTTTCAGATTTTCCAGATAACTTATTCAATTCCCATATATTTCTTATATAGTAATTCTTATATTCTTTAAGTCAATGATATCCAAACTTTTTCAAGCCATCTTGTTCCATAAACTTATACTAAACACCCCTAACCCATTTTCCCTTGTGTGAGAAAGGCTTTGAAGTCTTAGAAAAACTTTTCTATGAACCTCACACTTACCATATGCTATTCTCCACATCTGGAAACCATTAAATGGAATGTTCCTTCTTACCTGTTTTAACAGAGGAAAGGGAAAGGTTGTCAATGATTTCAACCCTCGCCTATGGTTATCGTTCAGCACCTCCAGTGCTCCCTGCTGCCCATATGCTTTTCTTCATCTCCTAGATTTACTGACCACCCACAGGGGCAGCAATAACATCCATTTTGGGAACCACTGCTTTAAGGTATCATGTGAAATTATAAAAATGAAGATTAATTAAAAATGTGAATGAATCAAAAATGAGTGCATCAAAATCAAAGATTACATCCGCACAAAACATGCCACTAAATGATTAAAAATCCAGTAACACTTTATTTTAAGAACGCTTTTAATATAAACATAATTTTATCATCAGATTTAAGTTAAAAACAAAATGAATATCCCAAATTAAACAACTCATTGATTGAAAGTTTCTCTGCTGTCATAACTACAAGTGATTTAACATTTTATATCTCTGGCAATTTTAGAGTAGATGTTATGCATCTTTGGCTCAAATTCTAACACAATTCTAATGCTGGGAAGGCTACTACTGTGTTAGAATTTGTTTCCAAGATGCACATCTACAAATAATTAAATTTTTAAAATTAAAAATTAATTTACAGAATAAAACCAATTTTCTGGATTAACAACTAGATTAACAATATTATTTTCTTATATTACCCAGTAAAATTAATTTTATTTGTAGGTAGACATTTGTGTACAGTCCTAAAAGTGAAATCAGATAAATTCATAAATCAGTCCCAAACACCTTCATCTACCCCAGTGTTTCTCAGCCTCTGACGAATCATTGCCCCCTTCAATAAAACTGTTACGTAGTATCGCCCCTTCACTTCAAAATTCCGATGCCGAGGGCCAAGGCTAACGCTAAATTCGTACTGCATCGAATAGACTAGTGACTAGTATAATATTGTTTGTTTAATTATTGTACGATATAACAAATAAAATATCCAATTATTCTTAATATAATGTTTTACTATATTGTTCAAAAAATTGTTTTTTGTCCCCCAAAATATAAATTGTTACTAATTGCATCCTCAACATGGAAAAACGCCCACGTGGGGGCAATATCGCCCCGGTTGAGAAACACAGATCTACCCCATCATCTGCTTGAAAGAGTCTCATCTCTTAACCTGTAATTCAGTGCATTGCATCTTATTATATTTTTGTTTGTTTGATATCCTGAAAAACATTGAATTACAGCTAAACTTTACGTCAGATTATTTACAGACTTAAGGAAAGTTGAATTAATAATTGCAATTTTTAAGAATCCATTTTGAATATCTTTATTTAAATTGAATTTTGAAAATATTAATTTTGTCCCAACCCAGTCTCAAATTCTTATTCAAACTGTTATTTATGTGGAGTCTAAGTTCCCCAATAAAAGTTCAATTTTAATGAAACTTGTATATATTAATGCTCTCATTTAGTTCTATTTGTTTTCTTTTCAGCCATCTTTAAGAGCTTCCTTATATCTACTATAACCATCTTGAAATATGCATAACATTTCTTTCTTAACTTTTAAAATTTCTCGAAATTGTTCTAACTATGGCAAATATTTATGCTTGAAGTTAGCATAAAAATAACTTCAGCGAAATTGAATACTCTTGGAAAACAGATTTGGTTATGCTGAAATTTTATATTGTATATCTGCTTAGGTACCATATGCATCACTATTTGCCAAGAGGCCCTCTTGAAAAATTATTGGGCCTCTTGGCATATAGTTTAGAGAGAATTTAACACCCGAATATTTAAATTTATTCGTAATTTCCAACAGTATTTCATTTAAGTAAAAATTCCTTTCCAATTACTGCATTTTCAACCATTTGAAATATCATAACCTTTGATTTGCTTGGATTTATCTTTAACAAATTCTGTTTACAATAGTTAGTAATTGGTTCATTTTGTTCTTATTTGGAGGTTTTTATTCTTTTTTGCCCTGTGAGCACTAAGAGAATTAAGAAAATAATTTAAAGATACAACAAAAAGATTTGGCAATCAACTTTATCCATCTCGGATGTCTACATCACTGTTTACTCGTGCACCATAGAAAATCAAGGAGCAGCTTGTAGTATAAATTACTTTTTGTTTGGATAACTATGTTAATTTTCTATTGGCTGTTAATATTAATAGCCAATAGAAAATTAAGCGATTTCAGTTGCCACTTCTTACTTCTACACCATGCATACATTTGCCTTTTGGTATCTCTGCTGTATTGTATAGAATATATCAGACTAATATTTTTTCATAATTGTGACATCTCATATCTTTGTAAATATACTACCTTTATTGTAATTATAAATCATTCTTTTCTTTTTAACTTAACTATTTAAACTATTAACTAATTAAAATACATATCCTGTTTTGCAAACACTCTTTAACTGTAATTATTACATTATAGTTGTATGCATCATTACTTTTTTGTGATGTTTCGGATGCACCAAAAAAACAAATCACTATTATATGAGAGAAAATATCTTAAACAGAAATAAATTAACTAAATAATTAGAAAATTTACTATAAAAATGCATAATATTTACTTAAAGTTTAGTTGTTTTTTTGTTTTATTCATGCACTAAGAGGGTCGTTTTTTTTTCATACCCATTGTGGGTTTGATTGAGCCTGCAGTGGAATGACCATGTGACAAGGGATGAAACAATTACCTGGGGTGAAACAATTACCTAAACATTCCTGCAGTTTCTCCCACCAGACACTGTCCTGGGTCCTCAGAATGATAGGTTGAGGTCTTAATCGCCTCCTGTTAAGCCTCAAACATCTATTTCATCAATGATTTCTATTTAAAACTGTTAAAATATATGAACTTTGGATTCAGACTTGTTGAGTTTTATATCAAGTATCAATCTCCGCTAACTCGGACTAATGGGAGACGAAGGTTGTCGTGGTTAGAGGGATTTTTTTATTTACTATTTCAGGAAATGAGCTCAAAAATTTTATGACTACAGCAGTACAGTATACAGGAATAATAAATTAGTCTTAAAAGATTTTTTTTTTTTGTTATTAAAAATTACATTAATTTATAGGTGTAGGAACACTAAGGGTCCTTAAGTTTTTTCTGAGCCTGAGGAAATTCTGCAGCTTTTCCTTTGATGACCCTGGCTAGAAGTGCTGTATTGGCAACAGTTTCATAAGCAGAGACAACAAAAATCAGTTCTAACTCAGACAAATTATTGTCATGTGGCACTGATAGTTTGTAGGGTTGGCCCAACACTACTCGCCTTAAGGTTGATCTCAAGGTGAAAGGTTACGACTCCTGCTTTGACCATGATTTGTCAGAATGATGCAAGAAAGGTTTTTTTATATATGGAGGTAGTGCTTTGCTGGATGCAAAGAGATCCACACGGAGACCAAAGTGACTAAATTTACGCATTTATTTTAACAAAGACATCATGCTTACAAACAAGGCTAAAGTATGTACTGAAGTTCTTTTGAGGAAAGTTTGTTTCGAATGATCTGGAATGTTTGCACCAGCCAGCAAGCGTACATCCGTCCTTTCAGAGATACTCTGAGATTTGGATGCGGAAAGTTCCGGAGTGGAGAGAACATCATCAGGAAATTAAGTCCCTTGTTGTCCCTGCGCTCAGTCTTTGGGGCTTCTCCTTTGTTCTTCGTTGGAGTATCCACAATGCATCTATCCACAAGGATAGACATTCTCGATCACAACCTCGTCGTGTCCTTGGAATCCAGGGCTTTTATATTATTTTCACCCGAAATCCCAAGGTTTTGGTTGGTCCAAAAGGTGGTCCCCTGTAATGTCATTGGTCTAGGGACACGATAAAGGTCGTGGGATCGCCGAACACCTACAAAAATCCCCATCTGGGCATCCTTCCCCCGGAGTCGGGTCAAGCCCTTCCCCAGGTGACAGTCCTGTAAATTCAAGTGTAATGTGTTTTCCTGACTCAGAGAAGGTGCAGCTGGATCCAATTAGTCCCAACCACCACCACCTCTGAAAGAGGGTCCGCAAACTCCTGCTTTGAACTCTGCGTAAGATGACTATCAAACTCTCCCCAGCAATCAATTTCTCCCCCACCATTCATGATCTACGATCAGGGATGTGTCAATTTGGTCTGGGAATGCAACAATTAAATCATCTCACACCACGTTCCTTTGCCACCCCAGTCTTGTTTGCGAAATAAGTTACCGATTTATTGGCCTTGACTCGACAGCCAGCTTCTCATCAGGGGGTAATGTCCCAGCCTCACAAGTTTATGAAAATTCTGTCACTTTTCCTTTTATTCTGTACCCGATTATTTGTTAATAAATGATTGAATACAAAATTTATGTACAGTACCTAATAATGTAATAATTTCAAAAAATATACATATTTTATAATTGCGTTATATTGACTTACACAAATTGTATGATAATATTATTAAATGCTAGAGGATGATGCCATTGAGCTATAGAAACAGAATATAGTATAATGTAATGTTAGTATAGTATGTATAGTATAATGTAGGACTTTTCATCCTACAGATACTAGAGCTTTTTTATGATTATTACGGGTCCGACTAGGCCCGTAATGGGATATATAGGGGGATAGCGATGAGATTCAATGTATCCAGGTCAAAATATCTGTAAAAGTTTCAGGATTCGACCTAGGTTTCCATAAAGTAGGTGGATGCCTTTACTATCTATGTAATCTGGCCATCAATAAGAGCATTAAAAACACGTTTGTTCCTCTTTAATAATAATATATATTATCTACAGGATGGTTATAATTAAATTAATCCTTATCAGAACCCAGTTATAATGGATATACATTAATGAAACTCGTTTTCTACAGTAACTTGCATAACATTACAACATTACTTGTTCTTGAAGTGCCATATTTTTGTCTATTGGTGAAAATTTGAACTAATTTTTCTTTCCCAGAGATTTATTCCCCATGGTGTGAATAGCACATATACGAAGTTTCATTGAAACATGTCCATCATAACAGGTCCGAGTAGGGTCGGTTTAATAACTGTCATATATAAGATATAAGTGTTGCTATCAAAATTAACTTGGCTGTTTTGTAGATTTATGTAAAGACAGTTGTCTTTTTCTCATTTTAAAGCAAACTTTAGTTATTTGCTGCATTTTTTAAATCAAATATTAAGAATTAAAACTTACTTTCACATAGTTTCAAACCTCGGAGAAATCTGCAAATTTAAAGAACAGTGTTTAGTAAATGACGCTCATACGGAATGTATGTACTCCAGTAATCCGGAAGTATCTCATCACGTCTGCAGATGTGCCACCGGTTATGAGAAAGGATATTCTAACGGGAAAGAAAAATGCATTTGAGGTATTTTTTTTAAAATTGTATTATTATATGTCTCCGAAATAATTGAATTCAAAACATGAGATTTCTTCTAGTTTATCGGACGACCGTGTACGAGAAGAATGCCAAAATTTTACACTTTTTTGGAAATGGTGACAGCGTCCCAATTATAATGAGCTGTCTGGCTGCCTTTTTGGCACTGTTTGCGTGTTTTGCCGGAATATTTCAATTCCTAAGGTATCCGTAGTGTTTAATACAGTACTTTTTTTAATCAGTTTAAACCTTTTATTGCCTGACGGGACTTTCTAGTCGCACTATCTTTGATATTTTTTATTTTATAGTGTATGCATTATAGGTTTTTGGGTCTTACATTTTATCATTGTATAAAGTGTTTTTTTTTTCTCTTCTATTGGGTAGTAACTTTCAAACTGTTCCTGTTTTAGTTTTGTTGGAAAAAGTTTTACATAGTGTGTTGTTTGAATGGTAGTAGCTGATATTGCTTTCTTTGTTGCCAAATTCTACCTATTGTTTTCAAGTTAAATGTCTTTGTATTTTTTAATATGTATTCTAGATATGTGTAGTTTGATTTTAATGTATTATGTTTGTAGAATTAATGGTATGCAAGCTGTATGAGAACAAAATATGTTTGGGACTTATGAGTCCCATCAGGCCTGAGGGAATCTTTTTTGTAAATGTTAGAAATTTGTATTTTCTACATTGTGCATTATAAATTTATGAATTTTTTAAACATTTTTATAGTTAATATACATATAAGACTTATATATATATATAAATAAATAATTTATATAAAAAAAATTTCCATTTGATATTGATACACATCAAAACCATATACAAAACATTACATTACGTAAAGTTTTCTTGTGTGTAAATGGGAAAAAATAAGTTTTTACATCTTTACTAATCATAAATTATTAAACCAATAAATTTTATTTTAGTTTTGTCATGCATTTTAATTTTTTTTTATATTTTGACCTTATTATACAGTAAAAGTTAACAAATACTTTGTTTACGATGAAAATGGACTTTACACAAGCACTCACAAGAATGGCACATCTAAAACAAACTTTATTAATGTCGACACGCCAAACCACTCAGACAATACTGTCCGGGCTGTGCAACAAGAGGATTTCTTCCTTCTGAATTAGTTAACTGTGAGATTTGGTTCCAAGGACCAGATTGGTTAAGACAGATTAATCCTGAAATTTGGTCTGAAAATGAAAAATCTGTTGATGATGAGAAGATATACCTTGGGGAGAAGAAGACATACACGACAGCTACCTGTGAAGTTGAAGAAGATGGAATATTTGAAAGGTTTTCTTCATGGTCCAGATTATATAGCGTCGTATCATTATGTTTGACGTTCCTGCATAATTGCTGTAACCCTCCAAAAAAACGTTTAAATGGTTTTCTAACTACTAGTGAACTAAAGACAGCCATTATGTCAATAATTAAGTCTGTACAACAATCATATTTTAGTGAGGAGATGTCTTGTTTAAGATTAGGCAAGGAGCTAAGAGTTCACAGTGGAATAATTCAGTTGACTCCCTTCTTCGATGCTGTAGGTGTTATCCGCGTGGGAGGTCGGATAAAGAATGCCAATATTCCTGAAACACAACGATATCCAGTCTTGCTTCCCTCTAAGAGTCATGTCACAAATCTTANCTAATGAATATTCTTTTCTATCTGCTATGTATTCTTCATTAGTTGCATAGCTACTACTGTTATCATTATTATTCACACGTCTACGGAGGGGAAGTTCGCTTTCTATCTTCCTTTGGTTGTATCAGTTGTCGCCATGATCACGCTTTGTGTAACTGCTTCGATTATATGCACATCGGTAAGTAGTTTCGGAGATTTTGAAATGTTGAAAAATAAAAATTTTTAAATTTTTATTTCAAAAGTACAAGTTGGTGTTTATCTGTTTTATTTAGAAGTTTAAAAATATGTTAAATAGGAAATCAGTTATAAAATTTTATTTCATTGTGATTAGTCTAAGAAATATCTGGAAGGAACGAGGTATTTTGACTCGTTGAATTTTCCACTCATCGATAAAATGCGGGTGAGTAAGTAATAATTCAAAAATAACTTTTGTTTTATTTGACAGTATTGTTAATTGTTGATCACATCTGATACACCAAACAATTATTATCATTACTTACAGCTTTTGTGCTTTCTTAAGAGATTGGGATCGAGACAACTGGGAGTAGAAGTCATGGATTTTATAATAACTAAGGAATTTGCCTTCAGGGTAAAATATTATTTTCGTAAAAAACACTTACATAATTAAAAGTTTTTAAATTAACAAGAATTTTGAATTTCAGGTAACAAAAGCAACGTTTACTTTCTTCGGAACTCTCAAAAGTATAAACGGTTTTGGACAGACCAAAGTCTGTTTTTCCGCCAATGGTACCGATAGGTTGAATTTAATGATACAAAATCTGACGTAAATTAACGTAGTTCCTGAACAGAAAATATGGAGTAGCCACGTAAAGTTCTGAAAAATTTACCTTGCGTGCCTACACTCCACCATGGACGTTCCACCAGGATGTTGTTAGTTTCCTCTTTTTAGTTTCCGCTGTGTTGCATTTACTTATCTTATTATATCATATATCATACTATATTTAACAATTTGTAAGATTTCGCATTAAAGAGAAAATAGCATATTGCACACAATAGTATTTAATTGTATAGTAGATGAAGGCCTCGTTAATTGATATATTGAAATGTTTATAATTCAGTACTCAAAAGTCGTTATAGGTTGTTATTTTGGGCATACAGCAGTGTATTTTACTGTTTTATATATTTTGCAAATTTCTTTAATCAATACTACACGGGGCGCTATAATTTAAATTTGCCCAGACCCAATGTCATTAATACTTAATTGCAAACAAGCAGAAAACGTAAAGTTTTCTGGATTTTCTTCACCTTTGTAATGCGTAAATGTATATCAATTTTCCATAAGTCCTCCCGGAAGAAACCCCCATCGTAGATTGTTCATGTGTTTCGTTTCTATAAAAAATACTACACGGGGCGCTATAATTTAAATTTGCCCAGACCCAATGTCACTAATAATTAATTGCAAACGGGCTGAAAACGTAAAGTTTTCTGGATTTTCTTCACCTTTGTAATACGTAAATATATACCAATTTTCCATAAGTCCTCCCGGAAGAAACCCCCTTCGTACATTGTTCAAGTGTTTCGTTTCTATAAAAAATAAATTAATCTTATTGATATATAATTTTTGGTTTTCAATGTATTTTCGTTGAAAGTAATGACAATGCCTTTAATTTTTTTATTAATTTAGTGTACTGTAGGAAACATAANCTTTCTCAAGCCATCATTCTCTTGTTCCATAAACTTATACTAAACACCCTAACCCATTTTCCCTTGTGTGAGAAAGGCTTTGAAGTCTTAGAAAATCTTTTTTATGAACCTCACGCTTACCTTATGTTGTTCTCCACATCTGAAAACCATTAAATAGAATGTTCTTTCTTACCTGTTTTAACAGAGGAAAGGGAAAGGTGGTCAGTGATTTCAACCCTCGCCTATGGTTATCGTTCAGCACCTCCAGTGCTCCCTGCTGTCCATATGCTTTTCTTCATCTCCTAGATTTACTGCCCACCCACAGGGGCAGCAATAACACCCGCTTTAGGAACCACTGCTTTAAAGTATGATGTGAAATTATAAAAATGAAGATTGGTTATAAATGTGAACGAACCAAAGTAGAATTGTACAAAAAATGAATGCATCAAAGTCAAAGACTTCATTTAAAGTGATTACATATGCACAAAATATGCCACTAAATGATTAAAAATCCAGTAACCCTTTATTTAAAGAATGCTTTTAATATAAACATAATTTTATCATCAGATTTAAGTTAAAAACAAAATGAATATCCCAAATTAAACAACTCGTTAATTGAAAGTTTCTCTGCTATCATAACTACAAGTAATNTGAATTTAATGATACAAAATCTGATGTAAATTAACGTAGTTCCTGAACAGAAAATATGGACTAGCCACGTAAAGTTCTGAAAAATTTACCTTGCGTGCCTACACTCCACCATGGACGTTCTACCAGGATGTTGTTAGTTTCCTCTTGTTAGTTTCCGTTGTGTTGCATTTCCTTATCTTATTATATTATACAATAGAACCTCGATTATCCGACCCCCTATCAACCGACCCCTCGATTAACCAACCGTCCTAGTCGCAAATTTCAAATGTCTGCTAGCAATGTGGCGCTACAATATTTGGCCATGTCTTGGCTACTTTAATATTATTTTTACGTGTTTTAGCTGGCAACACTGGATCGACCATGAAAGGGAGCCAGTATTTAACGAGGCTTAACTTTCTAATTTTTAACGATACAATACCGATGATTATTATTTTAAAAAATTGTTGTTAGGCTTAACATCGATGAAAATTCAACGCAAAGTAGGTTAATAGCGATATACTAATATACTAATTACATGGGATATAATAATATACTACATTAATAACGGATTTTTTCATACTTTTCAGTTATCCGCTCTTTCAATTATTCGACCAACACCAGCCCCAATTAGGTCGGATAATCGAGGCTCTACTGTATATCGTACTATATTTAACAATTTGTAAGATTTCGCTTTGAAGAGAGAATAGCATATTGCATACAATAGTATTTAATTGTATAGTAGATGAAGGCCTCGTTAATTCATATATTGAAATGTTTATAATTCAGTACTCAAAAATCGTTATAGGTTGTTATCCTAAGCATACAGCAGTGTATTTTACTGTCTTATATATTCTGCAAATTTCTTTAATCAATACTACATGGGGCGCCTTAATTTAAATTTGCCCTGACCTAATGACACTAATAATTAATTGCAAACGGGCTGAAAACGTAAAGTTTTCTGGATTTTCTTCACCTTTGTAATACGTAAATATATACCAATTTTCCATAAGTTCTCCCGGAAGAAACCCCCTTCGTACATTGTTCAAGTGTTTCGTTTCTATAAAAAATAAATTAATCTTATTGATATATAATTTTTGGTTTTCAATGTATTTTCGTTGAAAGTAATGACAATGCCTTTAATTTTTTTATTAATTTAGTGTACTGTAGGAAACATAAAATATCTTCTCACACAAAATAAAATAATTGTATACTTATGCGTGAAATGATTGTTTAATTATTTGACTTATTCATTCACATCATCCTCAACCTCAATATTTACT